TTTGGTGGGGGAGGGAAAGAGTCTAGCCCTGTCACCCAGGCTGGAGTGCAGCAGCGCTATTGTAGCTGTCTACAACTTGGAACTTCTGGGCTCAAGCCATCCTCCCACCTCGGCCTCCACAAGTGCTGGGATAACAGGCGTGAGCCACAGCGTCCGGCCCTATTAGCAGTATTTTGAAAACAAGGATTGAGATTCTTTTTGCCAAAGGCAGAGGAAAAATGAAAAGCTCCCTGGACCTGAGGCTGCAGAGTGGGGTGTGCCGTAGGGAGCAAGAGAGGAGGGAGCCTCTCAGTGGGGAAGGGCTGCTGGTGGCCGAGGGTGGAGCTGGGTGAGTCATTGGGCTTCTCCTGCCACCTAGTGGCTCCTTGGGGTGAAGCCACCCTGCTGTTCCCTCAGGTCCCCTTGGTAGTGGGGGGGCGAGGCCGGATTTAAATATTCCTAAAAACCAAGTCTCCAGTCCCCTTCTGTTAACGCATTCAATGCCCTGCCCTCTCAGGGGCCCTGGCCTAGGAGGCATCCTTCACCCGGCCCCGGCATGTGGGACAAGACCCCCTCCTCCACGTGGAGAGACAGCGGGAAAGCCTTTGTCTTGGCTCCCGGGCAGAGTGGTGGGGGGGGGGCCCCGCAGTGGACACCTGGGGCCGGTGGATGCCACCCTCATGCACCCTACTCCCAATGGCTTGATGACAGCTGATGGGAGATACTGGGCCCCTGACCACGTCCGTCCGTGTCTGCTGCAGGTTCTAGTTAATTCTATAAATAGGCACTATTTTGTGGAGGCTCTGGGTTAGGGCTCTCCGGAGCCTTCCCATGTCACCTTCTCCGAGGACTTTGCCCTTTTGTGTCCAGGATGGACGGGGCATGGACAGAGACCGGCCACCCCAGGCCTGAGGGCCCGAAGGGACCTGGGAGACATCTGGGTCTGGGCCGCTCTTCACGCCCCTCCCTCCAAGGAGGTTGCCTGGAGAGACAGCCTGGTTGCATCACGCCTGACTCCTGCCTATTAGGTGTCTGTGACTATTGGGGAGGGGTCTGGCCCTGGGTGAGGGGCTTCAGGAGGAGGCTGAGGGGCCTCATGAAGGGGCCACACGTTGGCTGTGAATCAAGGTCAGGCGTCCTGCCTGGCTGCCCATTGCCCTCCCTGCCCCTGCCACCCACCTCTCCCTGGGGCCCTGCAGCCTCGGCTGCATCAGGCCAGGATTGCATCACTCTTGGCTTTGTTCTCAGAGCAGCAGGTGCAGGAGTAGGGCCTGCCGCCCGCCGCCCGCCCCCACTTCCCTCCCATCTCCTTCCACTCCCTCCTGGGTAATCCCCCTCCTTCCTCCCTTCCTAAGCTCCTGGCACCCCAGGAGCTCTCAGCTCCACGCACCCCAGGAGCTCTCAGCTCCCCTTCCACCTTGTTCCCCAGGGAACCCTGGAGCCTACCAAGGTGGAAGGAGGCAGGCTGGGGGGCAGGATGAGCAGCAGGCTGGAAAACTCCTTTCATCACCTCTAGTCTCCACCTGGCTGAAAGCAGGTGCCACCCACAAAGGGAACACCTGGTTGTAGCCAGGGTATGGCCTCCTAGAATCTGGGGACAAGGTCAGAAATTGTCACCTGCTGAGCTAAAGCTAATAATAATCAACATAAAATGAATAAATTCAGGCCTTTGTAGAGGGTGCTTAACTTTTCTTTGTTGTTGTGTTTTTTTTTTGTTTGTTTGAGATGGAGTCTTGCTCTGTCACCCAGGCTAGATGCAGTGGCACAACCTCAGCTCACTGCAACCTCCACCTCCCGGGTTCAAGCAGTTCTCCTGCCTCAGCCTCCCTAATAGCTGGGACTCCCGACCTCAGGTGATCCACCCACCTCGGCCTCCTCAAGTGCTGGGATTACAGGCATGAACCACTGCGCCTGGCCTATTGATCACTTCTGTGCCCACCAGTAGACCAAGCATTTTAGACTCACACTCTCACGTCATCTTTCAACAGCTCTGTGAGGAGGTGCCATTAGCATGTCCGATTTACAGATGAGGGAGCTGCAGCACAGAGAGGTCAGAACACTTGCCCAAGACCACTCGAATATTAAATGGCAGTGCTGGGAGGTGAATCTGGGTGTGCCCCCTCTTGAAGTCTCTGGAAGAGATGGTTGGAAAATTCGATGCTGACCTGCCTGGAACATTTTTTTAACCCCTGAAAGGTTGCTTTTGTCTAAGACACTCATCAGAGATAAGTGTCTTATTTTCATTTTATCAAAAAGATAGAATAAATAAATATCCATGGAAGCCTGGGCTACATACTGAGACCGTGTCTGTAAAACAATAAAAAATTAGCCAGGTATGGTGGCATGCAGCTGTAGTCCCTACTCGGGAGGCTGAGGTGGGGGAATAATTTCAGCCTGGCAGGTGGAGGCTGCAGCGAGTGGTGACCGCACCACTGTACTCCAGGCTCGGCTCATAACATAGTGAATGAATCCTGCCCCGCTCCACACTGTGGTACCTCTGAGGCAACATTGTTGCTGAAGGTTCTGGTCCCTGCAGGCTTAGAAGAGGAGAAGCACCAGGGGATCCAGCCTGCCAGGGAGGAAGGAGGACTGGGGGGCTGTATTTGTGGACCCTGCAGGCTGGCACAGAGACTGTGGGTGGAACTATCCCTTCTCTGCTCAGGGGCTCTGCTTGTGAAATTCCCTGCAGTGTTCAGGGTGTGTTGATAAAATAGCATTGGGTTTATAAATCAACAGGAACTAAAAAAAAAATAAAAAAGAAGAAAAAAAAATAGCATTGGGTTGCCAGTCGCGGTGGCTTGCGCTTGTAATCCCAGTACTTTGGGAGGCCAAGGTGGGTGGATCACAAGGTCATGAGTTCGAGACCAGCCTGGCCAAGATGGTGAAACCCTGTCTCTACTAAAAATACAAAAATTAGCCGGGCACAGTGGCATGCACCTGTAATCCCAGCTACTCGGGAGGCTGAGGCAGGAGAATCGCTTGAACCTGAGAGGTGGAGGTTGCAGTGAGCCGAGATCAGACCATTGTATTCCAGCAGAGGTCTGGGTGACAGAGTGAGACTCTCTCTCGAAAAAAAAAAAAGAAAATAGCATTGGGTTTAGCAATCTAGCCACCATGACTTTGGCTAGTAGGAGTTTACTCCTGAGGGCTGGATTAGCATCTCTGAGGACAGACGGTCTCTGACCTTGCAAAGCCCAACACCAGACCCTAGGCCTGGCCAAGCAACAGCTGTTTCAGAGGCCCAGCATGGGTGGCTGCTGCTGCCATCTCCTTGTTTTCACTTCCTTGGCACTGAAAGAGAACCTGAGGGAAACCAACTGGAGAGCATGGAGCCTGGCTTCCACAGCCAGGGCCCTGCTGCACCACAGCCTGGGAGAGTGCGGCTCAGGGCGAGGAGCAGGCTTGCTGGCTGACGCTCTTCTCTGTCTCCTGTCTCTTTAGCTCAAGGCAGGCTCCATTTGAAGGGACAAAGAGCCCCATTGACCTCATAGCCTTGTGACCCCACCCAAGTCTGTCCCTCCCTCCCCAGCCAGCCAGCAGGGCCCTCGAGTAGCAGACAGGGGCCACAAGGCCACTCAGAGGGCACAGGCAGGGAAGCCGAGAGATGGCAGCCAGCTGGCCGGGGAAAACTGGGAGCGTGGGGGCAGTGCCTGCCAGATCCCCACCACGGCAGCCTGAGATGAGGGCTCCGTGTACTCCTGGCTGTAGTCCCAGGAGCAAAGCAGCAAAGACCCTGCAGGGCCAAAGCATGGGTGGCTGGGGAGTCCAACTTCAGCCCCCAAATCGGCTGCCCTGGAGCTCAGGGCCTCCCTGGCCCACATTCCTGCTTCCCTGCCCCCAATATGCCCCCCACACCCAGCCTATAAAGCCCCCTTTGTCTGAACCACTGAGGATCTTAACTCTCCCCATCTCAGCTTCCCGCCCCCTCTTCCCTCATCCTCTGGTGCCTAACAAAGAGGCCAGGGCTCAGTGAGAAGTGGTGAAGCCACCTTTATGCCAGCCTGGGCATTGGCCCAGGGGGTGTGGGCAGCCAGTCCCTGTACACCAATGCCTCCACCCACTGCCCACCTCAGGGCAGGTTAATTCCCACCCCTGTCCACTGGGGACTGCGTACCCCTGCCTAGGCAGTGTGCCCACCTCTCACATGTGATGCCCCTCTCAGTTTGCCCTGCCCTGTCACAGACAGCACAGAGGGCAGTGGGCGGCCAGGAGCCACCCCTGATGGAGGGTGTCAGAGGGCGAAGGCATCTTTTTGCCATCTCCTTGGTGTTTGCCAGATTTGGTGGCCCCGCTGCCCACATATTAGGTTCTCGAGTAGCGCCTGGGGGTTGAGATCCCACTTCTCTGGGAGTGGATAAACAGGTCAGCCCCCTCCTCCTGCTTGGCACTGCCAGGAACATGGCTCATTGGGTGGGCAACAGGAATCCTCATCTCTTTTTCCCACCCCCAGCCAAGGGCCTCAGAACATCTTGGACTATAAGCTGGACTCTGGCAACAGCTTCCTGTTCCCACAGAGATCTCGGGGTGCAGGTGGCACAGTGTCTCCCTGCCTCCCAGTGCTCTGGGTATCTATGACCTGCTATCAGTCACCCCCTGCAGCGGTGGTAGCCTGGGAGGCAGTTGGTCTGGGCCTTGGGATCAACTCTGCCGCCCAGGTGCGGTGAGGCCGCGGGCAAGCCCCTCCCTGGCCCCTGTAGCAGGAGGGTGGGGTCCTTCCGACTCCTTGAGCCTCAGGAATGAGGAAAGGGTCTTCCCTTGCAGGGGGGTCTCCTTTCCCCTAGCAGCGCCCCGAGGACGGGCAGAACACGGGATGCAGGCGCGGGTGAGCCCGGGACGTGCGAGGGTCGGGTGTGCGTTGTGTGTGTGCTCGAGTGTGGGCGCCCCCCGCGTGCGTGCGATTGTGAGGTTGCGTGTGAGCGCGTGTGCTCGCCGGTGCGCGGTGCTGCCACGGGCCGGGCGGGGTGAGGAGGGGAGGGGGCGGGGGGAGGGGCGGGGCCGGCGGGGCGGGGCGGGGAGGGGGCTCGGGCGCCGACACCAGGCGCTCCTCGCGCTCGGCGGTCGCCGGGTGCAGCTGCCCGGACAGGGCGCATGGAGGGGCCGTCTCCCCCTGCGCCCCCGGGGGCCGGCGAGGCGAGGACGGCATAGCTGGGCCCAGCATGGAGCAGGTGAGCGGGCGCCGGGCTTGGGTGCGCGGCCGAGAGCCGAGGGAGGGCTGCGGGCGTTGTGACCCGGCGAGGTGGGCGCGGCGAGCTCTGGGGGCTGCCACCGCGGGAGGGGTTGCGGCGTTGGAGCTCCGGGAGGGCTGGGGCTCTGGGGGAGGGATGGAACTGATGTGACACAGAGCTGACACACACACACACACACACACACACACACACGAGTACTCCCCTATCACTGACACCCAGGGAGGCGTGTGCACAGGGCACCTCTCTCCCCACCCCCTTTCCAGAAAGAGATCCCTCACACCGAGAAGCCCCCATTCCCACTTGGTAAGGGCACAGCCCCTGCTCCCGAACCCAGGCCCAAAGAGGCTACAAGCTCTGCAGAATGAAGGAGTGGGCTCTGGGTCGTATGACTACCAGTTGGTTGACCCCCAGTCCCTCCTGGTGGGACCTCAAGATGCGCTGGTCCCCTCCCCCTACACATCAAGGGGCTTCTTCCAGCCCCACTCCCCCGCTTTCCCAGTCACAGCAGCTGCAGCAGCTGCTGCCACCATTTCGTGTCAGCGAAAAGATGGGGTGGGCTAGGAGGCTTTCTCCAAATGTACCCCAAAGGCAGAGCCGCAGCCCCAGCCAGGTTTTGGGAGGGGGCTGCTGCCTTCCTTTCACACAGGCTCCATCAGAATACGCTGAGTGTGGGCTGGGCACTGCGGGTGGGGATGAAGACCCCCTCTGGTCAGAGTTCTTATCCCCTGCACAGAGCTCAGCAAATCCCAGACAAGCTGGGCCGGTCCCCTTCCATGATGAAGGGGCTCTATCCTGATTTGCAGCCCCCTGCTCTAAGAGAGGCCAGCAGCCTGATGAGGGGCAGAGCGAGGGGGCTGCTCCTGGGGTGGCCTTACTCCCTTCCCAACCTCCAAGTGGGGTGAGGTCTCGGGTGGGGTCTGGAGGGGTGGGGTGGGTTTTCTGTTTGGGGCACGCCTTTCAGTGCTCAGCCACCCAGACCCCTCTCCTTTCCCGTCCCAGGCTCCAGGCTCTTTGGGGCTGTTCTGCCTGAAGCAGTAGTCGGGGCCCTGGCTCTGAGACCCTCCCCTCCAGGCTGAGCACAGGTCCCCTGTCACTCTGGCACAGGGCCCGTGGGTGGCCTGTGATGGTGGTGAGGAGAGGGTGAGGAGGGTCAGGGGGAGGTGGAGTCTGTGGAAGGGGCGACCCCACCAAGTTCTGGGTGGTTGGAGAGGGTCTCTGGTTGGCATGAAGTGCTCTGGGCATCCTCCCTGGGCTGGGTGTGAGTTTTGGGCGGGGCTGTGGGCTGGTCCAGTTTCCAGGCCTGTTTGGCATCTTGGGCACTAATTTAAATGGCCAATGGCAGCTCCCTGGAGCACCAGGCCTGGCTGCTATTGTTGTTACTGACTGAGCACAAAAATAGTGGGAGGGCAGGGAGGGAGGGAAGGGTAGTAAATGCCACCGAATTGCTCATTGTAAAATGGTTAATTTTACGTTATGTGAATTTTGCCTGCATGTTTTTTAAAAAGGAGTGGCAGGGCTAGGGGCCACTACTACTTTCTGTCTGGAGAACCCTAAATGCATCTCACCGAGCCTGCAGCTCAGCTCAAGTTATTCTCCAAGTAGCCCATCTGCCCATCATCAGCCTTCATTAGCCTTCCGTAACTGTTCTGGGCATCAGTCGCTTACCCTTTCCCAGAGGGAAGACCAGAGCCCACTCCCCTGGTGCCTCCCCTGGGAGGAGAAACATCAAGGGGAGTCAGGACACTGGGCTTCTGCCCCTGGCTCTGTCACAGAATCACTGGGAGGCCTTGGACGGACATCCCCTCTCTGGGCTGCTGTGAAATCTCTGCCAGCTATCCCAAGTGGTGGCTTCTAGGTCCTTTCTAGATGTCCTAGGACCCCTCTGCCGAGCACAGCAGCTCAGTCTGTCCCCTGGACCGTGAGGTCCCTCCCCACAGGCGTGGACTCTGCCAATCGGCACAGTCTCCGAGGTGCCAGGCTGATGTGGTTAACGCCTACTGGTGTCACCAGCTTTCTGGATGTGCCAGAGGCATGGTGTGTATAAAATCAGAGCTTCTTTCATTGCACCAGGGAGAGCTCCTATTTTAAGTTTCCCATGTGCTGAGCCCTCTTGTAAAGCAAAGAATCCTTTTATAGTGCGCGAGCACCGATGTGTCTGTTTGGTATGTGTGGATTTTGGCATGGAGGGCTGCCTTAAGGGGAGCATGCCTGGAATCTCTCACGGGGGCTGGAACGGCTGGGCGGGTGAGTGCCAGGACTAAGGGGATTGCCCCACTGTGGTCAGTCCTGCCCCTCTTTTCTCCTCATCTGACTTCCAACACTCCAGCCCAGGGCTGGCTCAGGGCCAGACAGAGGAGAGGGAAGCAGCTGCCGGGGGATTTCCAGAGCTTCGAAGGGGAGGGGGGAGCCTCCTCTCTGATCCCTTCCCCTTTGCCTCCTCTCTCTTCCCCTCCTCTATGTTCCCCTTCTTTCCTCTTTGCTCCTCTCCTTCCTCCCTTCCAGAAGGGCAAATGGAGACAGGGAGGAGGGTGGGTCCCAAGTGTAGTGATGTGTAGGGGCCAGGTGGAGCTGGGCAGGGGCTGGGAGCCTGGGGCAGAAGCAGGAAGAATTAAAGACGCCACACTAGAATTTAGCATCCTGAGCTGGAATGAACGCCCTGGCCCGACCCCTCCCAGAGGGATCATTCAGTAAAAAGAGTAACACCAGACTCAGGCTGGAGTCTTACATGAATCCTAGCTGTAGGTCTTGGACAAGCCACCCAGCCTCTCTGGGCCTGTTTCCTCATTTACAAAGCGGGGCTAATAATACCCACCTTACAGTGTTGCCATGGGGACTAAGTGAAATAATGTGTATAAGAGCTTGGCACATAGTGGGTGCTCAATGTACTTACTCCTCTCCTCTGTGTCTCGGTGTTTGCAAGCCCCTGCTGAGTGATGGCGCTGGTAACCTTGCGCACACTCACTCATACACATGGTCCTTGCCACCGGCCTTCCCTGATGGGAAGGTGAAGAGCCTACTGGGCTGGGTTTTCCAAACCTGGTTTCCCTAGAGGTGGTCAGTTCAGAGTGGATTATCTGTTGGCCACCCTCCTGCCCTGACGGGAGGCCTCGAGGGGCGTGGCTTGCTTACCCTGCTGCCAGCCCAGAGAAGCAGAGCCTTCTTACTCCCGCCCCAGCCAGCTGTCCAGAGGTTTCCTGCACACACCCCAGCTGCTTGGCAGATTACCAGGGCTCTTTGGCCCCAGCCTGGCCACGGGTCTTCAGCCTCCCCCCCGAGGGGTGTTCAGGTGGGATTCTTCTCTTGGGAGGCGTGGCACCAGGGATGAGTGGACTATTGCCCTACCCTCCACCATTAAAGATACTTAGTGAGGCTAGGCTCGGTGGCTCATGCCTATAATCCTAGCACTTTGGGAGGCTGAGGCGGGTGGATCATGAGGTCAGGAGTTTGAGACCAGCCTGGCCAACACAGTGAAACCCCGTCTCTACTAAAAATACAAAAATTGTCTGGGCATGGTGGTGGGCACCTGTAATCTCAGCTACTTGGGAGGCTGAGGCAGGAGAATCGCCTGAACCCGGGAGGCAGAGGTTGCAGTGAAACTGGGGGATAGAGTGAGACTCTGTCTCAAAAAACAAAAACAAAAACAAAATTAGCCAGGTATGGCATGCCTGTAGTCTCGGCTACTCAGGAGGCTGAGGCAGGAGAATCACTTGAACCCAGGAGGCAGAGGCTACAGTGAGCTGAGATTGTGCCACTACACTCCAGCCTGTCCAGCCTGGGCAACAGAAAAAAAAAAAAAAAAAAAAAAAAGACATTTATTGAGCACCCAGTACATGCAAACTGTTGTGTCAGGTGGTGGGGAGGGAACTGTCCCCATATTCCAGGGAGGGCAACAAACACAGCCAAGGGTGCCTGGGATGGGGCTGAGATGGTGGTGCAGGCACGATGCTGAGTAAAACGAAGAGCCTCCAGTGACTGGGGGAGGAAGAGAGGGTCTTGGGAGGTAGGTGGGGTTTGTCCTAGACCTCAAAGCCCTCTACTAGCAAATGGCAGAGAAAGAGGTGAAAGAGTGGGGTGCAGGCACTGGCCACAGCCCCAGACATCCCATAGAGTGAACCTCATTCATTGAGCATGTTGCCAGGCTGGGGTGCAGTGGCATGATCTCAGCTCACTGCAACCTCCATCTCCCCAGTTCAAGCGATTCTCCTGCCTCAGCCTCCTGAGTATCTGGGATTACAGGCACCCACCACCACACCTGCCTAAATTTTGTATTTTTAGTAGAGATGGTGTTTCACTATGTTGGCCAGCTAGACTTGAACTCCTGACCTCAGGTGATCTGCCCACGTTGGCCTCCCAAGTGCTGACATTACAGGCATAAGCCACTATGCCTGGCTAATTTTTTGTATTTTCAGTAGAGATGGGATTTTACCATGTTGGCCAGGCAGATCTTGAACTCCTGACCTCAAGTGATCTGCCCGCCTTGGCCTCCCAAATTGCTGGGATTACAAGTATGAGCCACTGTGCCTGGCCAATAAATATCTTTTTTTTTTTTGAGACAGAGTCTCGCTCTGTCACCCAGGCTAGAGTGCAGTGGCACAATCTTGGCTCACTACAACCTCCATCTCCCAGGTTCACGCAATTCTCCTGCCTCAGCCTCCTGAGTAGCTGGGATTCCAGGCGCATGCCACCACATCCGGCTAATATTTTGTATTTTTAGTAGAGATAGGGTTTCACTATTTTGGCCAGCTGGTCTCGAATTCCTGACCTCAGGTGACCCGCCTACCTCAGCCTCCCAAGTGCCGGGATTGCAGGTGTGAGCCACCACATATGGCCAATAAATGTCTTTTGACTTGATTAAATGGGTCCCCCTTGCTTTGGAGGCGGAGGTGTTGCCTGTAGGGGACAGTAGAGGACCTGGGGGCTGAAGCCACGAAAATGGAAGAACCGCTGTCCCCTCTAGCCCTGCCCTGCTATGCTTCTCC